ACGTCGCCCCACTTTTTCCTACAGGGAAATGAGGCATTTTAAAGCATACAAGTGCTGCAAAAGAAAAACTTGAAGGAAAAAAAAAATTGTTGTAGAGAGAATTTTGTTTTAAAAACTCCTATTCGTTATACAAAGAAAATCGTTGTTGAGAGAGTCTACCTGTGTACATTTTTCTTTTGTTGAAGCATTGCGTCATCTCAGGCATAGGCGAGACTCTGGTGAGTCCTGTTCAGTACTCTTCTGTACTGTCTATGCATTTTAAAACGCATCCAAGTCTTTTAGGACATTATTGAAATAAAAAAACCCAGTTATGCGAGTAATACCCGTTTAAAATGCGACTTTCGAGTCGGGGATTTCGTGCAGCTTCGTTTTATTGGTGTTCTTTCACTGTGTGCCAGTACTGTATCAAGTTAAGTAGTACCAATGAGGCGAGCACCTGGGCCATCTTCATCTTGTCGACTTGTGATTGATATTTCACTTATATTTCGCGCGTGGAAGAATCTTTTGATGTCATCTGGTTTTAGTGCAGTTGAACTTCGATTACTCGAACCTCCTCAAGTTGAATACGTCTCAATGTCAAGCTTTTTTAGGCCCCTGTCGGAATTTTTCTTGGGAAGAATGCGTTGAAACATCCTTAACTTCAAGGATTCCTCCTCAAATATTCTGGAGGCCTTTTGGCAATGTTTTTCATTGACACAGGAATGAAAATTTTACTTGATGTGTTTTGAAAGGAAGTGAGGGACGAATTGGGCAAATAAACTCGAGCCTCGCAAGTTCAACACCCTTATCAACTCGTCGAAGGAGCAATTTTAAGCCCAGAAAATTCCCAATTGAAATTTTCTGTAATTATTTTTTATTTTCCCCACAAAAAAGCACATTTTTCCTAACTCGAAGCGTCCCGCACTCGATTTATTTTTTTTCTGGTCCCTTGAAGTTTGACTTGGGAGAGGTTTTGAATGTGAAAAGGCGAAAAGTGTTAAATGGCAATTTTTCTAGAATATAAGGCCTAGAATATCACGAATTATAATTTTCTTGAATTCTTGTATCCTTCCACCAACACAAACGTTTATTTTCCTTACTAGATTTTTGTTGTTGCTTGTTTCATGAAGTTTGGCTTGAAGAGGTTTGACTCGTGGCTCTACTCTAAAAATCGAGCTTAACAAATGACCAATTTTCGCACGTCACGTATTTCGGATTCATTAATTTTTTATTCTTTCAAGCTCGATTGAAATGATCGTGAATGGATTTTTTTCGTCATACTTCCGGGTTGTCGATGGGATTCATTAAAATCATGAAGTGTGGAAATTATCCCGATGGTCGATGGATCGATTTTTTTTTCGAAAATGGTGATTTAGATTTCACGTATCTGTGCGTTACTTGCGTCGTGGCTTGATTTTCTGCGAAGCATTAATCTCTCTCCGCCACGCGTTCGACATCCCACGTGTCAATATGGCTCGGTTCTGTTCATTTTTTTTTTCTCGCCTGCGTCTAAGTTCAGCATATTTCTCGGGTGTTGATTTTTTAAATCCGGGTATTTGTTTACTTGAGGAAAGCTGCGGAGTTGAGTCGGAAATCCCTTGGTTGTACGTGACGATTACAACGTCGGAAGAGTCTAGACTTGGAAGGAAAGAATGTGTCTCGGTGCTAATCAATGCAGGTGGACTCTCTCTACGACTTTGTCTACAGTGATTTTTTCTTTGTTTAACAAAAAAATGATTGCGTTTTTATAGACTTTTATTCAACTTGACTTGGGGTATGTCTGTCTGTTTAATGTGTATCCAGATTCAGCATACGGTATTTTGTTACTGAAACCCACTTTTGAATGTCCATTATAGCTCAAATTTTGCACACTTGTCATACATTAATGACAATGCAATGTTTCGAAACTTCAGAATTTTTTTATGACCAGAAAATTGTAAAATTGACTGAACGAAAATTATCATGAGACACACTCTTAACCCCTTTAAAACTGAATTGATCAAAGTTTTGGGGTTGTATTTATCGAGCATTGCTTCGAACATTGTGAGAGTTTCGAAATTTTGGAATGAAAAATAAAGTTCTATTTGAAAAGAAATAAATTTGAAAATAATTAAAAAGAATTCACAGTGACATCTACTCATTCAATTGAATTGAAACTTTTTCTCTTGTGAAATGAATGTATTTCTCTAAACTGGGATTTTTGTGTTTTATACTTGTAAAAAAAATTGATAAAAAAATTGAAAGCCCTTCAAATTCAATTTGCAGGCCTCTCAATTGTCTTAAACAATTTGAAATTTTGGTTTCTGGTACAGTACTTGATTTGTTTTTCTNTGGTTTCTGGTACAGTACTTGATTTGTTTTTCAATAATCTCGTGATTTTTTTATTTTTAGGAAAATACAAATTTTTACATAACTAAAAACTTGTGAAAGCATGCCTGCCCCAAGCAACACAACCTTTTCCTCCTTTCTTTGACTCTGGAAAGGTCTGGAATTTTTATTCGAAGTGCCCTGCATTGTAGCAAAGTTACGTAAATCCATTGCAAAAAGTACTTGAAGCAAGACATTTTCGTCATCTGCGTAATTTTTTTCCATTTTCCTGCCCAACAATTTGTTGTGCAAAATTTTCATTCTATACGATGGGCCTTTTTAAGGCGGAAAGTCGCTGTATCACTAGCCTGACAAGCTAACTCCATGTTTAGCTTGAATGGCAGTCAAGTTGAAGTTCGTCTCAGGAATCATGTTACATTAGTACATTGCTGTATAATGTTGAGTATTATTCATTCGCGTGGATATTGATTTTTATCTGCACTATTTTGATCTGCTGGAAAAGTGCAGCGTTGGAAAATTGAGTAAATTTTTAGTTAGTCTTTGGAAAATTGAGAGGGGTACTGCATGTTCTTCAAATACCCGCTCAACGAAATACACACACAATGAAAAAATCTGCGTAAAAATTTGTAGGCGAAAAAACATGATTCGTATTACGAAATTATTCGGCAGAAAAATGGTGAAAAATTTTAAAGTTATACGTTTTTTTTTTTCAATGGAGAAAAAAACATACTTCTACATCAGAAAGTTTTGAACAAAACTTCTCAGGCCTGCTTCAATTTAATGCTGAGGACTATTTCACAATTTTCCCGAGAGACGTACTCACGATTTCTTGAAACGGGTCCTCGGATTTAAAGCTCTTTAAATGACCCGAGTAATTTGAAGTGGGTTCGTAAATTCGGGCTGGCGAAAAGAAGCCCGAGTATTTTTCGCGAGCAAAGAAAAAGAATAAGACTTGGGAAGGGGGAGTCGAAGAGATTGGAATGTTGCCGAGATGCACCGACGACTGGAGTGTCGACGATGGGCATATTCGGTCGTGGGCGGGTCTCCTCCTCCTTCCCTCACTGCTGGCGACCTCGGAAGACCCGGGTTCATCCTTGGCCTCTCTTTTCGTGTGTCTGGTCTATTTTTTGCACAGCGAGCTTTGCCACTCGAAAGGGAGGGAGAGAGAGGAGAAGACAGAGAAACCTCTCGATTTAGTTATTTGTGCGTGTGTCGAAGGCCTGTTACCTTGCTTTTCAGTCCGTTTCGCGCGTCTCTGGAAGACGGAAATGAATGCCAGTCCTCAATTGTGATGTTGTGTGAAAGTGAAATCAGTGGAGTGTTGTAATGACCATAAAATTCCATCCCAACGAATCTCGTTTTGGCGAATTTTTCGTCGTAACTAGTTTTTCTTCTTGGTCCCAGCAACGGGATCATGTCGTACGAATCTCATTTTGACGAATTCGTTTGAGGCTCTAATCTCAGTACTGTACTGTATAAATAATTTTTTTTATCTTGGTCCCGGCAATTTCTCCATGGTCGCCATGTTGTAAAAATCTCGTTTTAACGAACTCACTTCAGGCTCTAATCTCGGATGACAGCATTTCACCGGGTAGTCGAATCTTAAGGTACACAATTCATTTTCATTATGTTGTCAATATTATCCCTGAAACGATAAATAATTTTAAATATTTGGTAAAACTTTTTAGAAATTTGGACCGCTTCCTACTTGATGAACACTTGAAGATTGTTCAATTAATCATTTTTTAATTCCATGAAATACTTCAGGGTAAACTGATCTCCTCTCATTCTAATTCGAACCAACAAGAATATTGGCCATTGAGGAACATTGAATATATTTTTGGAAGGGGTGTGGCCTATTTGCTTTGAAAATTTCTGGATTTTTCACAGAATTATATTTTGTAGACGGGTGATTGTAACAATTGTATTATGAAAATGTATTTAAAAACCCTGAAAGGAAACTTGAATTTCGGATGCCTGCAGCTGCAGATATTTTTGCTCTTCCTGCACTCAAGTCCAGACCCCCTGAGGCGCCGCCACCTGTTGGTGGCCAGGACAGAGTTAGAACCATCCTTGGGAGCATCTGCTCCACCAACGGGATTTCCAGGAAGTCCATAAAAAGCAGAAACTCTTAAAAATTGGAACAAAGTTAAGTGGCTGTCCCCTGGGAATTTCAATTTGCAGTTGGACTTTTCTACCTAAAAATAGAATGCCTCCTATTGAAAATTGTCCATGAGAAAGATTTAAACCTTCCTCCCTAGACATCCCAGTTGTTTTGTGTGGATGTGTACGAAATTTATTTTTGCGCATTTGGCAACTTCTGATGGGTTTTTCAAGTGCATTTCAACCCCATTTGTTTGATTGTTCTGCAGTTGTTCAAGAAGCTTTCAAGCTTCCTGGGAAGGGGGAATTGAGATGCATAAATTTGGTTGCTTCAAATTATAGAGTGCAGAACAAGATCAGAATTCAAGAGGCAAGGCAGAAATAGTCTGTGTGTTATAAGAATACAACTTTGTACAAATTTAAACTCAAGACTTCAAAGATTTTTTTTTTACCTTGTATTGGACAATGTTACAGTCCAATACTTGATTTAATCCACGTTTTTGCAACATCGGTTGATGTGTAGGATTTTATCAATACGCGGTTTTGTTGGAGAAACGTCTGGGACGCGTACCCTTTTTCAGGAAACCTTTGGGCTTGAAAAATCAGGAAGTTTTTGTGTTGCAGTGTTGGAATTTTTTAAAGTTTCCTAATTTTTAATTGAAAATGCTGTTGATTTGATCCACGTTTTTGAGGCATTGGTAGATTTGTGGGATATTCAGTGTGGTTTTTTTCTGAGAACATTTGGGGCACAACCTTTGGGCTAGAAAACAATTTGGGATTATTTGTGCTGACATTTTTTATGTCTTCCCGGAATGGGCCTGATTTTTCGCAAAAATCGGAAATTCGATTGATTTTTTCAAAGTTTTCTGATACATCGGTTGAAATGTGGGATATTATCAAGGACTCCTTTGAGTCCGAAAACGAGTTGACGCTGCCGGAACGCTGCGTGTCCGACCGTTTTTGGCCAGATTTCTTCACAAAATGTTCCCGTTTCGCGCCAATGGTTCGTTTCTTTGCGCATTTTCCAGCCTCCGTTTGAAATACTGTATCTCATTGTATGGAATTAAACTTGGTCTGATATCACCTTTTTCTTCTGCTTTTTTTCTTTCTTTCTAGGGAATGGATGGACAATTGTCACCCCTGAACGGAGTTGTTCGTGATTTGCCGAGAAAACCGTGAGTGTCTTATTGCAGCTGCTCTACGGAGTTTTCGTTTGATGAAGAACATTTGAAACTTGCTTTCTTCGACTTTTGCGATGCATCAGCTTCCTGAAAATAAATTTTATCTCTCTTGTGCGTCGGCACAGTTGTTGCGTACGTTATCTGCGCCGTTGTTTGTACGAGGGACGCAACAAAAGTTTTCGGAATACTGTATACTGTAAATTGAAATGGCGTACGATTGAGCTGAAGAAAAAATATTGTTTAGGTAGGGAAGAAACAATTTTTGGCATATGAAAAATATTCACCCCTTTGTGACATTTTTCGCGGCGGAAATGTTTGTTGAAGTCACCCCGGCAACTTTCTGCTTTTCTCGCGGAAGATGAGGCAAATGTCTCGCAGATTTTTTTTGGCGTAGCCCAGCTTCTTCAAAATTGTTGAAATCTACGCAGCATTACTTTCAAGGGTTGCCTCCAGATTTTTCAAGATAATCCCGCTAATTTTTCACCAGCCGACACATTCTCATCACGTGGATTAAAAAAATAGCGGAATTAATAATCAATTTATGGCGGCAACCTGTGGAATTGATGCCGTGTCAATTTCAAGAATTTTGAAGGTGAAGCTGGGCTAAACCAAACAATCTGCGAGATGGACGCCTCGTTTTTTGAGTGAGGAGCAGAAAACTGACTTTTTTGCAAATATTTTCCGCAAACGTGTCAAAAAGGGCTGAAATTTTTCTTGTCTCCAAGAATGTGTTTTCTGAACAATGAATTTTTTTTTTTAGCTCAATCGCGTACCGTTTCAATTTCTATTGCGAGAACTTTCGTTATTCCCCTCGGATGTGCAAGTGAATCGCCGTTTTATTTACTTTTGGCGTATATCTATCGCAAAGGAAGCGTAGAATCGAATCGAATGAACGCACCTTGTTTCCGGGAAAATATGACTTGGTCTGAAAACAAGTCATGGTACAATTTCCACGCATGGTACAATTTCCACGCATCACATGAAATATAATCTCTTATTCAACACATTGTCGAGGCTGCTAAATTTTGATATTCTGTATTGCAAATGAAGCGCTGCGGCATGAGCAAAAATCGTTCGATAACAAAGCTGAGATTGGAATGAGTCTCTTAATTTTATCTGTTTGAATAATGTACGAGTTTCTTAATATACCTGGTACGGTACTGTATGTTCGTGTTGTAGGTACGTACGGCGTTTTTATGATTTCTTTCAGTTGTTGAGAAACTGTTCGAACTCTGATAGAATTTATATTGGACGGATTTTTACTTGGCTTAAAATTTTTTATGTTTTAAAATCACGCGAAATTCTTCGTTTTCTAGACTTTCTAGGCTGAGTTTACAACATGAAATTTACGTCTAATCCGAATTATCCGTCCTGTTGTCGTTAATTTCGGTGAAGGGGCGAAGGATGATGTCGGTTGTGTGTTTGGGGATGTCTGTCAGGTTTATTTTAGAAGATTGTATGCAAATACGAATTTTTGAATGTTTTTTTTTTTCGTACATTTCCTTCCAAGTTTTAACGCTGCTGTTTCAGCTTGAATTTTTTGTTCTTTTTCCTCTGGTCTCTGCAGGTTGAAGGAATGTTTGTTCACCGTCAAAGACTCCGGCTTGGTTTTGCCGCATGACACGGCGAGGAAGACGAAGCAGAGTGGGAATGGAAGTCGTAGCAAGGTGCGAAGCGCGAAACGGAACCGCCGAAGTGGCGCCTGGGAGGACGCCACAGCTGCCGCCGCGTGGACAGAGCAGCAGTTGCCGACGGCGGCGGCGGCAGTGTCCACTTCCGCCCCAACTTCCCCGTCCATGGTTATCCTGCGGGTCACGCCGCCGGGGTCCCCGTTGTCAACGAGGGTGGCCACCCTAAACGACGGCAACCCGTCGTCGGACATTCACCAGCATTTGCAGTCCATGTTGCATCTCTTGCGTTCGGAAGATACTTTGAAAATGGTGGGTGCACCTTTTTCTTGGGTCGGTGTTGAGAGGCGGAAATGAGCGAATGAGCGTTTCTGGGGTCTTTGAAACAATGGAACTGTTTTTACTCGAGTGAGACGCGCATCAGAGTTTTTCAGTTTTTTTTTTTTTTAATTTTAATGAAATTCTATTCTTGAGTAGGATGCTCACCCAATTTTTAGCGACTATAAAATTGTAAGTTTTAAAAAATAATTGCACCCAAAGTTCGGATTTAGACATGGTTTGCTCTTTGAATTCGACTAGTTTTCAATTATTTCCGTTACAGTGAGGTTTTATATTGAAATTGGTCCAAAATTTTCCATCGGAATCAATTACTGATGATACACACCTGAAATGTAAACCTAATTAATACGCGCACCCGCTTTTTCCCTATGAATTTTGAAGAAAGGTGCGCGTGGTACTTGAGTAAATTCGGGTTAGTTTTGTTGTCGTACTGCATTTACTCAAGTACCACAATCAAGTACAGTACAGTATCATGCACAACTAAATTTTAGAATTAAATTTTTTTATCTGCGTAAACAATGCACACCACCGTTTTCCTCTCAAATTTGATAAGAAAAAAGAGTTGCGCGTGGTACTTGAGTAAATGCAGTACAACAACAAAACTAACCCGAATTTACTCAAGTACCACGCGCAACTTTTTTTTATCATCAAAGTCGAGAGGAAAACGGTGATGTGTATTTTTGACGCAGATAAAAAAAATTCAATTCTAAAATTTAGTTGTGCATGATACTGTACTGTACTTGATTCTAATGGGAACTCTTGGACCAAGTTTAGTAGAAAATATATTTTTGAATGGAAAAAATTGAGAATTATTCAAATTCATGCCTGAATTCAAATTTGGGTGTTCTTATTTTTGAAATGTGGTTTTTGAAGTCACTGAAATAATGGGCGTGTTTTGATCAGGGATAGGATTTTGTCAAAATTTTCAACTGGAAAACCCGTGAGCGCGTCTTACTTTACTTGTGGGATTGTGGTACTTCAGTAAGTACGGTATTTTGTTGTTCGCTCATAAGTTACCGTATTCCTTAGTTGTGGTAAGAAAATAGTCAAACCTTGGTTTTTATGCCACCCATGCGTGGTGCCACAAATGTCTTTGGAATGAATCTCTCATCATTGTGTTCTCGTGGGAAGACCCAATTCATTGCATAATCGTAAAACTTATTTTCTTGCATGAAAAAAGAATCAGAAATGTAGGCGTTTTTCTGGGGATACTATCCAAGTATTACTGGGAACCACATCATCTTCAAGTGAAAACTCAGGATCACTGTAAAGTTAAACAGTCTTATTCTGCAATTCACTTGATCAAACCATTCTTGTTGCAGGACACCTTGCTTTATTGAAAAAAAAAAACTAGAGCTTTTCTGGAAACATTGGTGATTCCTGCACATGGTATAAAACTCAAACTAAACTTCAAGGAACAGCTCTGCTTTTTCACTAGACACATCATGTGAAAACATGGAAAACAGTTTTCAGCACAAGTGCCACATGCCCTTGAGGAAGATGCGGATCACGGTTTTTCAGTAAATTTTATTTAACGTAGCCTTGAGTAAGATGCACACCCCACCTTTAGTGACCATTAAACCGCAATGCTTAAAAAAAGCACCTAAATTTGAATTTTAACGTGAATTAATCCTGAATTTAGTGGATTTTTCATTTTTTCCAGTTAGAAGAAGTCTTCCTGTTGAAATTGGTCCAAAATTTCCCATTAAAATCGAGTACAATATGCCCCCACACTTCTAAAACTTTTTCAAAATATATACCCGCCTATGACGTGCCCCCTTTTTTCACTCAATTTTGAAAAAAAGGGTTGCGTGGTACAGTACAGTACAGTACTTGAGTAAATATGGTACTGTATACAGTATTCTGTCTTATTAAATATTGCACATTCAATTACAAATATTTTAAAAGCAGTTCTGCACATTTCAGCTCCTTGTTGCTTTCGCTCTTATTAAGAAAAATCTGTGGTCTGACAAGCTTATTTTGCCTACAATAGGAACCCTCAACTAAACGTTCCTCTGATACAATACCCTTCACACTCTTCCTGAGTGCCACAAAATTTGGCACGACAATTGATGGCATAAGTCAAACTTCGACTGTACAATAAACTGTAACACCAATCATTAAATCCTTGAGGAAACTTGCGTTCCATTATTCGTGTCTTGCTTTAAATTCTGGAAGAGGGAAAAGCAGAGCAAATATTCAGAATTTTGGCTGTTTTAAAAAAAATCAGATTTGCTTGTCTTCTTGGGTAACCCGTGTTCAGATGTATGGCAATGTCAGTAAGTACCGTATCTACTGGAGTACCATGCGCCCCCGAGTGAGACACGAACTTCAGGATTTAATCTAAAATTTCGAGAAAATCTTATCCCTGTAAAAGACGCGCGCCTTAGTCTTCAGTTACAGCACCAAAATTTCTATTTACAAAACGGTTGTTTCAAATGGAAGCCCACTAAAAATGTGATTCAATGGCAATGTTTTGTTTCATACAAATAAAAGTATCATTAGTAAGAAAGCTCTGAAAATTTTGGAAGTTGGGGAGAAAAGTTTCGAATTTCGAAAAGATATCACTTGAAATTTTGTCCCTGACGTGTAAATAATTGTTTGCCGTGGTTTATTTGAAAAAATATGCGCATGGTACTCAAGTAAATACATATCTTAATAAGGTACTGTATTAATGTACTGGATTTCTGGTCGTTGTGAGATAAGTTCATTGTTTTGATTGGATTAGAATGTTTTGATTTTCGAGGTGAGTAAGAATCGAATATTTATATTCTTTCAAAGGCATAAAATTCCAACTCAAGTTCGTTGTTCCGAGTTGAGTCGAATCTTTGGAGTTTTGAGTTGTGCAGTGAGACTGAAATATTTTTTATTCTTTCAAAGGCCGTGAAGTTGGAGTCGGCGCATGAGGGAAGAACCCGGTACCTCGCTGTCGTGGCTTACGGAGAGGAGAGCATACTGCTGGGAATGGATTGCCGAATTTTAGAAACTACCTCAATTGGACTCTGTTTGCGATTACTTGCCGATACAGCCATTACGCTCGACGGTGACGGGTGAGTGTATGACGCGATATGTTGCCTACGCGCGTTGGATTTCGGGTTAATCCGTCACTGACTTATTTTTCCCCGTGTCACGTCAGGGGGTTTCGAGTCAGCACCGCAGGCAGGAATCACATTTTCAAGCCAGTTTCCGTTCAGGCCATGTGGTGAGTTCAGGTTTCGTTTACGTGTGTGAATTGCAGTGCAGTAGTATGTGCATGGGTTTGGATTTTACCCTTGCATGCAAGTTTTCGACCTCTGTTTTGAATTGAGATCATCATGATTTGTAGAGTTGGAAGCATTATGATCGAGTTTTTTTTTTCAAGTTTCTATTTGTGCAAGAAGTTGTACGAAGATTTGACGTGTTCTAATTTACGATATAACCTCGATATAACTCGAATCTGTCCAAGTCGAATTCCTCCCTGTGTCGAATTCAAGTCCCTTCCTCAAAATTTTTTTTTAGAAACAATTCTTCTCAACTTGAAAGATTTCCTCCTCAAACCTCCAGAACTCGAATTTTCCGGAGGCCTTTTGGCTATAATTTTATTGACGCAGGAAACGGGAAAGCGTGGAAAACGTAACTTGATGTGTTCTGCGAGGAAGGGAAAGAATAATTGGGCAAATGGAACCCTAGCCTCCAAGTTCAACCTCCTGTCAACTGATTTGAGCAGTAATTTACGGCCTAGATTCCCTAGAATATCACCAATTTTAATTTCCTGTAATTCTCCTTTCATTCCCCCAACAAAAGTTCTTTTTTTTCCGAATTCTTTTTTTTTGAGTTCGAATGTGTTGGACAGTGTTGTTCTTGAGTGTGATTTTCGAAACATATGTGACGACATTGTTTTTCTTAAAAATAGTGATTCGAAAAGTATCTCAAAAGCTTCCGTTTTTTATACGACCAAAAATCTTACTGCCTTGACTCACGTGGATGTGTGTGTTCCAAAGTGATTGAAAAAGTCCTGATTTATAAACTGTCCTTTTTTGATTTTTTTGAAAGCACGGTTAGTGTTTATTATGAGCGTTTGGAGTCTCAAATTAAGGGAATAAGTTATATTTTACGAGTATTTTACTACGAAATTCCCCCGAGATGAACACGGGGGATCGTTCGTCGATGATGCGTGACCCTGTAGTTTCCTATTGCTTTCAAGTTTTTTTTTTTTACTCCCTGGTATTACAGCAGCTTGTAACGGCGATTAATATGAGAAAGCGGCGATTCCGATGGGAGTTTTCCCAAAGCCATCTTACTTCACTCATTAATCTTTAACGGATGTTCCGTACCCGCACTTCGTTTTCTCGAATTTAGAACATTTTTTTCCGAGCCTTGTCACTCGCTGATCCGACACGGTGATTTATTTTCGTGAGCTTTCAGATGCATGAAGATCAATTTTGAATCGGGAGATTTGCTCCTGATTTTATGGTGGTTGAAGGATTTGATCGAAATTGATCGTGGGAAGGATTTATTTGTTGAGTTGAACTGGACTCCTTCAGCTGTTAGGTGTTGAATGAGGAATTTTTTACGATCAATTTGACTCTCAGTGATCAGATAATCGTTCTGAATTTTGATTTTCACCTTCGCACAGTTTTTCTTTGGGATTCCATTTGAATCCATTATATGCCGCTCGTTATTGAGTGATGTGTCATTCTTTCTTGTTCTTGAAGTCGGGGTGTTTGAAGAAAATCTCTTGATTTATTTAGAACGCTTCCGTATGGTTTTTACTTTTTAGTTTTTGAACTCTTGATTTCACTTCGTGTTAACTGAAATGCGGAACTTCCATGTATATCGCGAACTTGCTGCTTAAGAATTTAGAGTGACTTCGGAACTGGCCCAAGTTTGATGCCTCATTCTTCCTTGATCTATTTTGTTCTTGAAAGTCAAGATTTTGAAGTTCATCCATCCCTTCCTTCATTTTCTACGTTTCTGCTTGGTTTCGACCCATATTATTATTTTTTATTTCTGACTACTTTCACTGATTTTTTAAAACTAAAATGGGGAACTTCCGTGTGTATCGCAAACTTGCTGCATGAGAATTGAGAGGGATTTGTGAACTGGCCCAAGTCGGATTCCTCAAAATGCCGGGATTTGATTTGTCACGGAAGTATGACGCATGAGTTTCCTTCTCTTTTCTTTTTCGCGTATTCCGCAGGTCGGCCCTACAAACGTTGCACAAATCCTGCGGCGCCGCGCGACAGCGCAACTTCTTTTTTGGCGGCGGATCTCACGAGTGGGCCAAGAGTTACGAAAGTGCGCCAGTCCGTTCCGACCGGTCCTGCATCAACGAGTGGAACGCCATGGACGATCTCGAGAGCCGTCGGCCGCCGAGTCCAGACTCGTTGCTGTCCCGATTGCGGCCCGGAGTGGCCCAGCGCCAAGAGACGGAGGGCATGATCAGGGCCAAGCTCAAGGAGATCATGATGTCGGTGGACCTGGACCAGGTGACGAGCAAGTCCATCAGGATCAGGCTGGAGCGAGAGATGAACTTCGACTTGGCCGACTACAAGAGTTTCATTGACCAGGAAATGATTACGATTTTGGGACAGATGGACCAGGCCACGGAGATTTTCTCACATTTGTACTTGGGGTCCGAGTGGAACGCGTCCAATTTGGAGGAACTGCAGAGGAATGGGTGAGTATTTGTCATTCTTACGATTTCTCATATTTTTACAAAAGAGGTTCTCACCAACAACAAAAAAAGAAACGAAGGTTAAAACCGTTAAATGATGCCAAGCGCTGTCTGAAGTTTACTGACTCCCTTCTTCTTCTTCTCAAATGTCGATACTCACTGTCGCATTCATCAGATTTCTTGCAGATTGTGTGAGAGAATTCTGGGTGCACTAAAAGAGCTGCGTGTTTCTTTATTGCTGATTTTAAGGTTTTTCAAGAGCAGAGTCGAAGAAATTCGGTAATGCTAAAAGAAAATGCGAAACCGTGTAAGTAAGTAACCGTGGGTCAGAACTGATGAGCAATAAAGGCGATTTTGCTTCATCTTGGCTGAGTCAGTGAGTTCAGGTGTGCTGAGAATGATCGTATCACCTCTCTCCGTGTTTTTGTTTCGTTTTTTCCCACCTTTTCATTGTGTGAACCTTTTGCTTGAAAAGTTACTGTGACGATTACTATTTTTTACAGGATCACGCACATACTGAACGTGACGAGAGAAATCGACAACTTTTTCCCGGGAATCTTTGAGTACTACAATGTTCGAGTTTATGACGACGAAGCTACGCAACTGCTCAAGTACTGGGACGACACCTACAAGTACATAACCCGCGCCAAGTGAGTACTATGTACACACGCATCATGGTAACGTGTACAAGGTGGATTGCGGGAAATGAAATATTTTAATTTTAAGTTGTAGGGATCGTCTGAACAGTTGAGGATTTCAAGTCGATGAAAAAAATTCAAGTTAAAGCTCATTAAACTCTCATGAGAATACAGGTGGACTCTGTACAACGAAATTCAGGGGACCTGAAAAATAGTTCTAAAGATTATTTTGGTTGTGGATACGGGTAGAGACCACCTATGGGACAAACAGAAAATTCGTTTTGCAGAGAAAATCGTGGTAGAGAGAGACAGAAAGAGTCAACCTGTACTTTCAAATTTTATTGTTGTAGTGTCACGGGCATTGCTAAAACGACTGTAGATTGTAAGCATAAATTGAAGTGCAGATTGTATTCATAAATTGACGTGTGCTTTCCCAGAAATTTAGTAAATGTTGAAAACGACTGCTTATTATGCTGAAAAACTGACCCCTCTTCTTGAATAGCTTCCGAAATTTCAGTGCTTGAATCGAATTTAAAAATTCCAACAGTTCTCATAAGGTAAGTACTGTAGAGATTATTGCTCGAGTACAGTATTCTATAAAAATATATGTCATGTCATATGCTTTATTCAACCGTTTTGTAGTCACAGGTGCATGCGACGTCATAAAAAATAATTTTTCGACAACTAATTTTTTATAAAACAATAACATCCTTTTTGTAAGACAGAAACGCGGAACAGGAAACAGATAAGTCAAAAATTTATTTTTATAAGAACTCAATTGATCGAATTTTTGTAACTTCACGTTTTTTCTAGCCTCCGAAGGTATTTTGTTCCAAAAATCCACCTGTTTATTAACAATCAGCCCCGGAAAACCTTTCTTCAGAACCCATTTTTCATCTTTAAAGTATTTTATTTCACCCTATAATGCGGGGGGCGGGGTTTAAACATTATATTTGAGAACTTTTAATAATTTTTATTAGTATTCAACTGTTTTTTTTTTTGCCGATCAGCTTACTACAATGATTGTTTTGATGAAAACGTTGGCTGAAGAGAGCCTGACGAACGTTTGTTGATTTTTCTTTTCTCGGGAATTAACCTGACAGGAGTTCTGTAAAATTTGAAAACCTGCAGGGCAGTTAGACCTTTTGATTAGAGTCTGGAATGCACCAGCTCAAACAGCTAGTTGACTGAATTTTCCATCGTTTTTCGACGAATAAATCACTTTCTTACCAATCAGTCAAGAAAAAACTTCGGGGAAACTTTTTTCATTTGGTTGCAATTCCGTGCAGAGAATCGGATCATTTCTGCTGTAAATGTGTTCTTTTAAAAAAGGAAGTCTTGGCGAAATCAATATTTCAAATTTATATTACATCTAAGCTGAAATATTGATTTGATTCATGAAAATATTCCCTGAAATGCAGACATACTTACGATATTGTATTTCCCGACGGAGCATTTCACCATTTAAGGTCATTCTGAAATTGCTGACGAATATGACGAGAGTTTCATACTGCAGTGCTCATGGTGAAACCACAAGTTTTTTGCTCTCGTTGATTTTCCTGTGATCAATCAATAAAAAGATAACTTCTTGAAATTTTTTTCAGTTCTCCGTATACCATGTTCCTGAATTTTAATTTCTGTTTGAATTTCGGTGTTACGCCGAGGATGCTCGTTCTGAAATACAGTACAGTAAAATCTCGTCCCATGAACCTGATACAAATTCGTTACGAGATTCATGGTTCTTCGAGCATGTAGGGCTGACATTTTTTTGGAAAACGGGCAAGAGATGCTTAGTACTGTACTCCCACAACAGATTCGTGAAGTATTCTCCAAGTTTTCAACATCTCTTGTTCTGATCTTACTGAAGTATGAGCTGAAATGAATGGAAAATTCATGTGTAAGGAGCGCATTTATTCATTGAGAACTGTATGTTCCTTGAAATTTAGCAGTATCCTTCCGAGCATGCTCTTCTTCCAAAAAGTTAGCCAATTTATAAATTCTGAAGTAAAGCTGAGTACATTTTGATGTGAGCTTTTGGGATACGGACAAATCGAGATAGACAATTTTGAGCCTGGACAAATCAAGGCAGAAAATTTGAGACAGGGTTATTTAGAGACAGGGACCATTGGAGACAGTCCCAAAGCAACTCTGAGCATACAAATGTTTTTCTTTTACACTCGATTTTCTGGCTTTCCCAAGATCCCCCCCCCACCCCCCCGCCAACTATGCACAATTCAAAAAATTATTTTACCCTTGATTTCTTCCATTTTAAAGAATCTTGGTT